TGCCTGCGCAGGGAGGGACCCCGCGCTTCCCTGCATGTGCAGGGATGCTGCTGCGAGTGGGGCAACCTGGGTGCCCACCATTCCGGAGCTGAGGTTGGAGGAGGGGGGGGGACGCTGCCGTACCCAGTTTTTGCATGCAGGCGTGCAGCCGTGCCTCCAGCATCAGCACCCGCTGCTGCAGCTCCTCGTAGTCGTAGGCGCCCATCTCCTCCTGGATGGCCAGCAAGCTCCCGGAGAGGTTCCTCACCTCCTCCTTCAGGTGCACGATCAGCCTCGTGTCCGACTTGTACTGATCCAGGACGGGCATCAGAGGCAGCAGCTCCGTCATCTTGTCCTTGAGCTCCTGTTTAAGGGATGCAAGGGGAAAAAAAAAAAAAAAGCAACACACCACCCCCACCTTAAATTAAGCCCCTTTGCCTGCTGTCCGTCTGTCCATCCCTCCGGGGGGTAGCAAGGAGCTTTCCAGCACAGATCGCGGAGCGCAGCCTCATTAACACGCCAGAGACGAGCCCTATTCCCTGGGTTGGTAATTAATAACAATTACAGGGCTTTGCGTCTTCCAAGAGCTTGGGGAGCTAATGAATCGCCTGCAGCCGGTGCGGTCGCCTCGCCCTGCAGCGCGGGAAGCAGGCAGGATCCAAGAGCAACAGGCAGAGTTATACACCAGGGCCAGGGTTGCAAAATCTCCACTTATTTTAGCACAAGGAGATGGTTAAGAGGTGTTTTGACCTTGGCCTGGAAGCCCCTAGGAAAAGGCTTCAGCCATCCGGCAGGCAAAGGCTGAGCAGATCCCCAGTGTGGGAACGGGGTGCAAGGATGGCACGGGGAGAGAGTGCCAGGGATGGGTGATGGCAACGGGTGCGTGCACACCCAGCACCCTGCATGCTGCAGGGATGCACGGGCCCTGGGACCACATCAGGGATGCTCAGCCACCCGGACCACCGCAGGGATGCTTGCCCCTGGGACCACCACAGGGATGCTCAGCTCTGGGGCCACCACAGGGACACTTGCCCCCAGGACCACCATAGGAATGCTCGGCCACCTGGACCACCACAGGGACACTTGCCCCGGGACCACCACAGGGATGCTCAGCTTCAGGGCCACTGCAGGGATGCTCAGCTCTGGGGCCACCACAGGGACACTTGCCCCTGGGACCACCACAGGGATTCTCAGCCACCTGGACCACTGCAGGGATGCTCAGCTCTGGGGCTACCAAAGGGACGCTTGCCCCTGTGACCACTGCAGGGATGCTCAGCTTCAGGGCCACCACAGGGACGCTTGCCCCCAGGACCACCGCAGGGATGCTCAGCTCTGGGGCCACCACAGGGACACTTGCCCCTGGGACCACCACAGGGATGCTTGGCCACCTGGACCACTGCAGGGATGCTCAGCTCTGGGGCTACCAAAGGGACGCTTGCCCCTGTGACCACTGCAGGGATGCTCAGCTTCAGGGCCACCACAGGGACACTTGCCCCTGGGACCACCACAGGGATGCTTGGCCACCTGGACCACTGCAGGGATGCTCAGCTCTGGGGCTACCAAAGGGACGCTTGCCCCTGTGACCACTGCAGGGATGCTCAGCTTCAGGGCCACCACAGGGACGCTTGCCCCCAGGACCACCACAGGGACACTTGCCCCCAGGACCACAGCAGGGATGCTCAGCTCTGGGGCCACCACAAGGACGCTTACCCCCGGGACCACCGCAGGGATGCTCAGCTTCAGGGCCACTGCAGGGACACTTGCCCCCAGCACCACCGCAGGGATGCTCAGCCACCCGGACCACCGCAGGGATGCACAGCACGGCACTGGCGTGGCAGGGACACGGTGCGGGGGAAGCACAGCGACGAGCTGGCCCTGGCTAAAAGCCACTCCAACCGCGTCTCCTTCGCTCAAGGACGCTGTAAATCCACATCCAGCACCTCCGTCCCGCTCCAAGGCCCTGGCCCCGCTCGCCGGCCCACGGCTCAGCAGGTTTTCCCGGGAACAAGCCTGGCTCACCAGCACCTTTCCTCCCTCCTCGCCTTTCATTTCAGGGCGGCATTACCGGGCCAGCGTTCTGGGATTGCATCCCGACGGAGGGGCTCAGCACCTCCTGCTGTGATTAAACCAGCCGAGACATTTGCTGCAGCTCAGATGTTTAATCAATGTCTCGTCTCTCCAACTGCCACCCGAGCATCCTCCGGCCCCTTTCAGTGCCAAGAACCAGCTGCTCCCAAACTAGAAACTCTCTTTAGCTGTCAGGATGAAGCCTTGAGGCTCCCAAAATAAACCAGTGCCCTGGCAGGGGGGCAGGTAATGGGATTTCTGGGGGGGTGCGGAGCCGCTGCAGCACGGGCAGTG